TCGTGAACCACCTCAAGAGCCAGGGGCTCTTCGACCAGTTCCGCAGGGACTGCCTGGCCGACGTGGACACCAAGGTTCGGGGCGCGCGGCGTCTGGGGGTCTGCGGGGAAGGGGAGGACCTCAAGGGCGTTCCGCTCGCCGAATTCCCTTTGCAGCGGCAGCCGTGTGCCATGCACTGTGCAGGGCGCAGTGAGTGCATTCACCAGCCGGTCCTAGCATTCGCCTGACCGGTGCGCGCTGAAGTACCTACTACGTGCCGGGCGCGGCTTCGGCACTGGGCATTGCACCGGTCTGGGGAGCGAGACTAAGTCATTGTTCTTAGGGAGAGCGGTTTAGTATCAGTAACGCTAACAGGGCTCGGTTTTGTATTCATTCTCCTCTCTCTAGATTTTTCTCCCGGTTTGCTTTGTATCCAAGTTATTTTTGCTATCTCTCTTGAAGATTCCTGAGCGTTAAGGGCAGTGTGTTTGCTCTTTGGAGAAATCACTAAATGATAATTGAATCACATCATTTGCAATGTATTTTGCTGGACGTTGGAGCGGGGGTGCAAAGATGAGGGGGCAATCCTGGCCAGTGAAAAGCCTCGTTAGGAGATGGAAACTTGAGTTTGGTTTCTAGCGGTGACTGACTGACTTAGGTAGCTTAGGCCGAGTCGCTTCTCAAAGGGGATGTGGGCAGAAAGAGCAAAGCCATTCAACAGGAAAGGATGGAGGAGAGGCGACAACAGACAGCGAAGGGAAGAATAGGCGGGGAACGAGAGCTCGTTCAGAAGAGTAACGGGGAGAGGGATAAGGTCAGCGGAGAGATGCCCTGTCCAAAAAGAGTTAGAGGCCAGAAAAGGGAGCAAGCTTTGTGCCGATTAGAGTGAGAGGAGCATCATGGGGAACAGGTGAATTTTAGGTGCGTTGACAAAGAATTAGAAAAGGACACCGGGAAGGAGCGGTGAGGATGGAAAACCAGTTGAGTCTGGAATTCTGGAAGCAGGTGGAACGGGGCGCCTGTTAGAAAATGAATAGGTTTTCTGTTTGTTTTATTTTGTTTTTATTTAGATTTGGGTGGGTCTATTGGAGTTTTCCCTGGTATGTTTGACTCTTTTCAGGAACTTGTTTCTTTAAGATCCACAGATGCTTCCCAGGCTTTACATACAGTTTCTCTCTGTCCTCACATATCTTCCCTTATCAGGACTCTGATAGTGGGTCCACTGTGTAGAATGTGCTTTTTCCGTTGTCTTACTTTGTGTTAGGGAATATGTACAGCTATCTTTTTATTTTTTTTTTATTTTTTATTTTTTTTTTTTTGAGACAGAGCCTCAAGCTGTCCCCCTGGGTAGAGTGCCGTGGCATTACAGCTCACAGCAACCTCCAACTCCTGGGCTCAAGCGAGTCTCCTGCCTCCGCCTCCCAAGTAGCTGGGACCACAGGCGCCTGCCACAACGCCCGGCTATTTTTTGGTTGCAGCCATCATTGTTGTTTGGCGGGTCCGGGCTGGGGATTCGAACCTGCCACCTTAGGTGTACGTGGCTGGCGCCTTTGCCGGTTGAGCTATAGGCGCAGAGCCACACAGCTATCTTTTTAAAAGTAATGTCTTATTACTCTGTTTACTAATGTTATTTAATGGAAAGAGACTAGATGTGGTCAGGTAAATGCTACCCCCTCAAAAGGTGATTCTTTGTATCCAATAAGGAGAGATTTCACTTTGTTGGTCTCAGAAATCCATGAATCTGTGTGTTATCATTGCATATGCAAACTGAAGATTTTAACATACTGATTTAGGGGGCTGCAATATCTAAAGCTTAACTTTTTCTTCATTTCCTCCTCCCTAAATGTTATTGTTGTGTGTTTGTAGTATTTCTTTTAGTCCCTCACAAAGTAGAATATTAAAACCTTTCTTGGAGGGGTTGAGGGAAGCACAGTGGCTTTGACAGTCCAGCTGGGATCTTCTCCAAGGAAAATGCTTATATACCTGTTAAGATGCTGTTTTTATACATTAAAAATTGTTGACTATAGGCAATTCTGTGGGTCAACCTAATGTTGTACATAGTTTCAGGGAGTTCAGGGACCCAAAATAAGATATCCTGTTTTAATGGTTGAGGCCAGAGAAGAGTAGAACTGAAATGACACTTTTTTCTCAGACAGAGGGGAGCACCTGGGTCTGAAGTTCTTCCTTCACTCGGACTCTCTCTCCCACGCTGTCTGTTTCTATCCACCCCCTACACCTCCCACCACCTCTTTACCTTCCTCTGGTTAGGTTCTGGCCTCACCCTTAACTAGCAATTATGTAGATTTTAATTTAATTTAAATATTTATTCTTATTGAATAGTATTTTACACTCTATTTTCTTATTTGAAAAAAATAGAAATAAGAAAGAAAGCCCAAAAGCCTCCAAAAATATACACAAAAGCCAAAATTTTCTTCATAGGAGCTTTAACGTTCATATCAGTGTGACGGGTGGGCCGGGTAGAAACGAGATTCCCTTTTCATGCAAAGGAGCATCACTCTAGTGGAAGTCCTTGAGTTTCACCTGCCACTTATTCTGTGGGTGCTTTTGATAAATGAACCTCAAAGCCTCCCTCTTCCTGTTAGAAAGTCTTACCTGCGAGTAGGGTAGTAACAGTAACTGGATTATGTCAGTCACATACATATTTAAGAATCAAGACATTTGATACCTGCCAGGTACTCTGCAAGTAAAACTGGCATCCAGTCTCGTGTGTTTAAACCACGGTGAGAAGTACCAAAGTCTGCTGCTATTGCCGAAGACTATAGAATCCCCCAAACTGTTCTGGGGTCATTGCAGACTTTAACTGGAGAGAGGTCTGGCTACAGCAGACCAAATCAGCCTTTCCCACCCAGGAAGTGGAACCTTGGGCTGCCCCAAGATGCTCCAACTGCCAAGGCTCCTGCGTGGGAGATTCCCAGTTCCTGGATCTCTGGAGCAAGCCCAGGAGTCACTAAGCCATTCTGACTCCTTTGCACTGATGAGCTACCAGGGAGTGTGAGGAGAGAAGACCAAGGGGCCTATCACTCTGTCCCAGGGAGGGAGCTCATCAACCAAGCAAGTATGGTGCCTCCCTTCCCAACAATAAAAGGTGATTCTGGAACACTTTATCATTATAAATGGCTCCTGGTCAATTTAGTCACTCACAGACACCATTCACTGAGCAACTTTTATGTGCCAGGCAGGTTTGTTTAGTTGCCAGGGATACCAGGGATACAGTAGTGAACCTGAGGTCCCACTATTATAGAGCTCACATCCTAGCAGAGAGACAACAAATAGTATCTGATGGTCCCATGGGAACAGTAAGCCAGGTGGGGAGTGGAAAGGCTTCCTGTTTTGTTTTAAATAAGTTGTTCAGGGCAGGTTTCAAAAAAGTGGTATTTGAGCCATCTGTGAAGGCACTGAAGGAGGTGTGCAGACCCCTGCAGCTGCCC